AGATAGATAGATAGATAGATAGATAGATAGATAGATAGATAGATAGAAAGAAAGAAAAGTGTTTTTCCTGTGGGGCAGAGAAGTAGCTCAATGGGGCATTACCACTATTCCAGGGAAGGGAACTCTGTGGACAGGACTATGTCATTTATTTTATACTAAATGGGAAAAGTGTAAGTTCTCTGCACCAGACCTTTGTAACCTTTTCCACTATGTGACCCCCTTCCTGGGATAACTTTCTCTTCTCTGCTTTAGTCTTTAGAAGAAGTGTGTGACCTGTTGCATGCAGCCCCGTTCCAGAATATCTTGCCTCGAGTCCACGTGAAAGGTGAGTCTGCATCACAAACCAGAGTTCACATTGCACGGTGCAGCCAGAGCAGAAGGCCAGTGTGCACAGTTAATGTGGGTACCTGTCACAGCCAGGGCGTCCCCGTGGGGAGTGTCTAACCTGGTTAGTATTCATTAGCTGAAGTATATATGACTATAATGACGCCTAGGATTTGTTTCAGAATAGCCCAAAACAGGGAAGTGGAGATAATAAAAAAGATTGACATAATAAATAAAATAATAAAAAAGGTTGGGAGTGGCGTGATGAGTACAGAGGTTCATTGTGCTGTTCTGCTCTAGATCACATAAGTTTCCATGAGTTTTTAAAAACTGTGTATTATTAAATATGAACTCTTTCATGCTCCCCCATTCTGTTGGCTGATGATTACATGAAAAAAAAATTACACTACTTCAAGTTGAAAGCAGATTCCAAATGGATACATTGCACAAGTAAATCTTATCCGCTTGAATTAAAGTCGCAAATGAGCTATTTTAATGTATTGTATAGTTTAATATAATACGATGGATACACTCTTTCTAGAGAGAGGTCTACATCCGTGGAGCTAACTAAATCTTCAGGTTTCTTTTAAAAATTTAAACTTCTTCTTACATAAGGTCAGAGCATAATAAATTGTTTTCCAACCCAGAGGGGGAGAGAGTTGACGCCAAAATGAAAAGGCTAGAATCCAAGTATGCGCCGCTGCACCTTGTCCCGCTGATAGAAAGGCTGGGAACCCCACAGGTAAGACATGCTGTGGTTGCTAGGGACTGCTCAAAGGGTGGAAATCCACATCAATCCAGGGGAGGGGTTGGAAACAGCTAAAAAGACCTACTCTGATCTCCATCTCTAGGAGGGTCCCTCCAGAACGTTGGGAGGATTCGAGATGGTTATGAAGAAAGGGCTCAAGCACCTATCTTAGGAACAAAGATAGTTAGACTCAAAAGATGCTGCCTGTTGTCCTTGGTTACCCTTTTGTGAACAAAAAACAGTTTTGTTTTTTGTTTTTGTTGTTGGTTTTTTTGTTTATTTGAGGCAGGGTTTCTCTGTGTAGCTCTGGCTGTCCGGGAACTGGCTCTGTAGACCAGGCGGAGACCTGCCTCCCCTGCCTCCTGCTGGGATGAATGTGTTCATCACCACTGTCCCACTGAACAAAGCTTTTTGAATAGGGTTTCGCCTTAGAAGTTGTGGTAAAAGGCAAGGTACCAGAATAAAGTTTACCCTGGATCTGGCATACTTAACATTTGAACCACATTTGTTTATTTTGGGTTTGTTTTTGTTTTTTGTTTTTTTGGTTTTTGGTTTTGTTTTGTGTGTGGTGGGGGGGCTCTACATTTAGTGGCATTACTGGCGTCTCCCAGTACATTTTTTGTGGTTAACTAGAAATATCTTTGGAAATTGCCATATGACCTGGAGCCAAAGTTGCTTTGTAGTTAAGGATAGTTGTACTTCATTCTTCTTGATTCAGCTATTTTAATCTTTAGGACATACTTAGTTGCTGATAACTTATCGGTGCAATAATTGCAATAGCTTGTGATGATTGCTTCCACAAGGCCTCTTCTCTGCCCGCTTAGCATTTTCTATCTATGTCAAAAGCAGACCTAAGAGTAGTTTGTTTTTCGCATACGACAGAGTTTTCCCATACTCTATCGTGGGTTGTAATGTTCCATTTACTTTTCGCAGCAAATTGCTATCGCAAGAGAAGGGGACTTACTGACCAAGGAGCGACTTTGCTGTGGTCTATCCATGTTTGAGGTCATCCTGACACGGATCCGGACCTTTCTGGATGATCCCATCTGGCGTGGGCCTCTGCCCAGCAATGGGGTCATGCATGTGGATGAGTGTGTGGAGTTTCACAGACTGTGGAGTGCCATGCAGTTTGTGTACTGCATTCCCGTGGGGACACACGAGTTCACAGTGGAGTAAGTGTGTTATGTGACTCTCTGACAGGGCGGTTCCAGGGGAGGCAGAACTGGCGGGGGAGGGGGTGGCTGATGAAAGAGCATGCGTGTAATCAGCACTGATGTTACCATCATCCAAAGCTTTGTAGCTTCTAGCAAATGCACAGACATGGCACTGGTTCAGTGCCAACGAGAAGGGGTTCCTTCCTTGATGCCAAAAGAGGACTCAGAATAAGTATACTGGAATTATCTGAATCCAGAGCAACTGGAGGCAAAATTTGGACATTCCTGTTTCCGGGTAGCAGGTTCATAAAGTCATTCTTCATAGGTCTGTGATCTACCAAACTAGCATTTATCAAAACTTGGAAAACTGCTTGTCCTCATCATTCTCCTGTCTGAGATCTGTGTAGGCAAAGAAGTTAATATCGTCTGCCATTGCTCTCGGGAGACAGATCCATGGGAGTCTGGCTCTCTGTTCATTCTGTCGGTTGCTCGGTGCTCACAGGCAGTGTTTTGGAGATGGGCTCCACTGGGCTGGCTGCATGATCATTGTACTGCTTGGACAGCAGCGCCGCTTTGCAGTGTTGGATTTCTGCTACCATCTTCTCAAAGTCCAGAAACATGACGGCAAAGATGAGATTATCAAAAATGTGGTACGTAGACAGAATCTTTGACACGTTTGTCTTGGGGAAGAACTTTTTTATCCTAACATAGAATTTGAACTTAAACCTAACGCAATTTAAACAAAGAGAAGTCCGGAAAGCTTTTACTTTTAAATAGGTTCTGTTTCTTTTTTCTTACTAGATCTACTTTTTATCTTACCGTAGAGACTATATTTTCAGATTGTTGGCATACTGTTCTAACCTCTGGCTTCCAAATCATGTGCTTTTGAAACTGCCTTTATTAACTTTCTGTCATCTTATGAAGTTCCCCACGATTGAATTGTAGAAAGTAAGTTAGCCATTATGTTCTTAAAATACTTTCTTTCATCTCTTCTAGAACATTCCTGCTAGACTTTTCTTCTGCTTTCCATGTGACTTGTTTATATTAGTTTTTCAGTCGCTCCCAGAACTAGTCAACAATATAGGCCTAAGGACAGAAATAACCACCATTGATTAGCTCATTTTTAAATGTCAGCATAGTTCAGCTGATTGCCCTGCTTCTCCTCACAGAACTAAATGGCATGTTTTCCGTCTCCTTGGGTCACGGGCTGAATTCAATTTTATGTTTCCTGCTGTCGGCTCATTTCCTCACATGGCTTCCATGGGGCAGTTTCAAGCCACAGGGGTCACCCACCTTTGCCACCTCCTTCCTGGCTCCTGCTTTCCTCTCAGATGACTGGATTGGGTTTGCCTAGACAAATCCAGGCGCTTTGAGAGAATATCCACAGCAGTTGTGTAGGCATTTCTGAAGGGCTGTGCTAGCTCCCGTACCGCCATTCCCTTGGCTCTCTGGAATACAGGCCGAGTATTTTCTTCCTCTGTTTTTGTGGAAATAACTCATTTCAGGTTAAGTTGGCTGTGATTTTTGCTTTTAAACATTTTTTCCATTGTAATTTGGTTGAAATCTTGGCAGGAATATTTAAACTGGAATGTTCCCCTCTTGCTGTTGTATATTCTAATTCTGATAGCTGAAGGCCTTGGAATCTCTGAAGGCCATTTAAGACTATCATAGCCTGTGTTACGTGACCTGCTTGCGACCTTGTGTTTCATTTCACCTGATTTAAATGTCTTTAAAGATTTGCTGTTCACTGCCGGTCATTACCACCCGGTGTTATCAGAGCTTCTCATGAAGTCTCCAAGGATAGACAAGGCTATCTCTTCATCCCAGTCTACCCTTCTCATCTTCACCTCCTGTGTGGGCAGAGCCGGCAATGCTTTCAAGTTCTGTGTCTGTGACTTAGGAAGACTCAGCCAAAGCATCTTCTCCATAGTATTGTTGAACTGGAAATACACAACTCATATTTCATTACATACATTCTTTACATACTAAACATTATTTTCATGTTAATGTTCTTCTTTGCTTTTGGACTTTGGAGAAAAAGGTCACCCAGTATGACCTGGAACTCACCGTGTACCCCCAGGTTGGCCTTGAACTCACTATTCTTCATGCTGAATAGATGAACATGCCTTTAAGCTTTACAGGTCTAGATGTAACAGTATCAAAATTACAAAGAGGCAATTTAAATTGGAAATCTATTTGTTAGTCCAATGGTGATACTTAAAAGATGGTAGGGGGTCATGTATTTTTCTGTAGGAGAGTCCTTGCATCGTAAAGCACAGTAAATCTAAGCATCTGGTCTAATTGTAGCCACTGAAGAAGATGGTGGAGAGGATCCGTAAGTTCCAGATTCTCAACGATGAGATCATCACTATCCTGGACAAGTACTTGAAGTCTGGTGATGGGGAGAGCACGCCTGTGGAACATGTCCGCTGCTTCCAGCCGCCCATCCACCAGTCCCTAGCTAGCAGCTAAGGGCTAAGTTCACACCATCCTGTAACTGACGGCATGTTTGTCCTTATGTTAATTATATTGACATTTTTAGGGGCTATTTTGAACCTACTTGAGGGGGTGCTTTTTGATCTGAAAGCTTAACTTTATAAAACTTATTTTTCTAAACTAAAAAATTGTATATGCCTTTGGAATTGGGAGGTATGAGAATACTGGTTGCCAGTTGTTGCCATTGCTATGATGGTCTTAACAGGTATTTTTATGTTGAATGTTCTAGTAGCTAGTTATAAAAATACTGAATTAGCCTGTAAGAAGCATAACGCCAACTAATTGTATTTAAAAAATTCCCTACCAATTTCTATTAAACTTAATGAGTAGCTGCTTTGTTTAGGGATTTTTCTGATGGTCTTTTAGGAAATCTTTTCTAAGTCATTGCTCCCTTTTATGCCAAAACAGTGAAATTGTTTCCTCTGCTTCCACCAAATCCAGTAATGTCAGTCTGATTTGTAAGATATGACTTACAGATTAGAGAAATAAAAGTTATGGTAATCTGTTTGTGTTCGTTCACTGGCGTGGCAGGACATTTCACAGCGTGGGTTCAGATCAGTGTCTGCAGGACGAGGTCATGATGTAGCTCAGAAACAACTCGCACACGTTTACATCCGGGTTAGGCAGGGATGAAATGACAGTGAGATGGAAGGCAGCAGCTGCGTTGTCCGTGCAGGACAGAGAGGAACACCAGGACTAAGGTATGTGCTCCCATTTGCAAGGCTGATAGCTTGTGGGGGTAAGGGTTAGCATGGGACAGTGGACACTGCAAGAAAGGGGCCGGGAAGCATTTGAGCCCGTCCCTAACAACCCTAAACATTGCTTCTCAATTGCGGGGGGAACTGTCTCAATCAGCTTGAGTTGGTCCATGGGACCTGCCAAGTGAAAACCAAGAACCCGGTTTGGCTCTACTTTCGGAAATAAGTAGAAATCGAGAGTTGGGTACAGTGACGGGGACTGACGGCAGCTGCTTGCAAAGCTGAGGGATGAGGATCCCTGGAGCCCAGGAGTTCAAGGACAACTTAAGGAACAAGGAACATAACAACATCATTGGGCTGGGAAACACCAAAGTCCAAAAGCTTTGAGCTTTATTTTACATAGAAAATAAAACACAAGTACTATTCTGCTGTACTGTAAACCTGAGTTACATCTTTAACAAGCCTGATATCAAAAAGTTACCTAAAATATTTGTTGATATGAAGTTGTGATGGCATCTGTCCTCACCCTATCAAGTGTGGATTGCAAAAGTCAACGACTATGTTACCAAGTGATAGCCCAAATAAAAAGTCAACGACTGTTTTACCAAGGAACAGCTCAAATAAAATGCTTGTGTACAAGATTACGTACATATAAAGTATTTTACGTACAACACACTCATTCTCAATGAGGAAACTCTTCATCCCCAAGGGAATGAACATTGGCTTTTTTACATGTGCAAAATAAGACATAGATACAGTACAGTACACAAACAGACATACAGGATATCTGTGGAGGGAAAAACTATTAGCTCTGGGATTGAAATTACATAGAAAGGCTGGAAATGTAGCTCAGTGTTAGAACATTTGTGTAGAATATACTAGGTCTTGTGACTGACACCCAGTATGGCCAAAATGGAGTTAGACAGGGTGGCAGCAGAGAAAGAAGAAGGCAAGAGCTCCTCAAAACGCCAATAATGAAACAAAGCTATCCCACCCACCCTCCCCTCAAAGAGGATTTCACAAAACCAGTACTAAGCCGCTATGCGGTTATGGGCAGGAACAGAAAAAAAGCGTAGGCCCAAACTCCAGTTCTTCCTGTCAGTGGGGACGGGCTGGAAGGGAGGGTGGTTTATCTGTCTGTCTGTCCAACACATGACTTGAGAAGTGGGCACATCTGATGCTGGAGAGTGCTCCTTACATTGGCCTAGCTTTTTTGTTCTTGTTTTTCTATGAACATTATTCTAAAAAAACAAAATGTGTAAGGTTTAAACTCTTAAGTAAAATAAAAGAGACCATATTTTACAAACATTTAAATCAAGCATCTGGAATCAGAATAAAGACTTTGTTCCAACTTGTCATTTTAGCCAAGCATGGGTTTCTAAATTTAAGAGACGGCACAAGTCTTCGTCGACATCCCAGAGTTGTTAGGAGGGCTGTGAGCACGGACCTCTGGTGGCTGCAGAGGCAGGCAGTGCTGACAGCCCTGCGGTGCTTTCCACAGGAGGCCGGCAAACTCACATGGATTATTTCCTTGGAACCACACACACATATATTTATAATCCAAAAGCCTTAGTATGGTGAGGGGTTGATGGGATGAGGATCACAAATGTACATTTTCATGTTCATCACCAATGGAAAAGATAAAACATCTTTATAGGCTTAACGTTAATCATTAGTGCATTCGAGCTCTGGAGAATGGATAAAAACGTGAAATGCCTTTACAACAGTACACTGTTATTAGAAATTAGCCATGTGCTGAGGTCATTTTAGTGAGCTACCATTCTTGAAATATAAGAAAAGTAATTTTCTTGATCCAAATTAGTGAAAACTAATTAAAAAAGATTGTCTTCAGAGAACATTATTTGAGGACAATTTTTTTTCAGATACATTCTGATACTCAAAAATCACTATAACAGAATTATAGGTTAACCTTTCAATCTTATCCTTAAAAAGATGCCAGATTTCCATTTCTACGGGAGATATTTTCACTAGTGTGTTCAATCCCACAGGGTAGGTCTTCTTCATTATTATTAAGAACTTCATACATACTAGAAAGATTGCCATTCATTGTTTTTTCATCTTTTCGAAAAGATACAGGCAGACTTGCTAGACTAAAACTGACATCTTTAAAGGCATGCAACAAAAATATCCCCACGATGATTGTGAAGAAGCCACTCAAAGTCCCAATAACATCAGCAGCAGGCATATCTTGCCACTCTTTAAAAAGAATAGCTGAACAAGTCAGAACTGACGTTGTAAAGAACACGTAATATATTGGCGTCACAATGGAAGTGTTGAAAATGTCCAGAGCCCGGTTGAGATAATTAATCTGTGTGCTCACACAGACCACAAGGCTGAGCAGGAGGATCCAGGCCAGGGGGTGCTGCAGAACAGGCTTGCCGGCCAACAACTCTTTGATGGTGATGCCCAAACCCTTCACACAGGAGACTGAAAGTGCTCCAATCACAGAGCAGATTGTTATATACACAAGAATGTTTGTCTGTCCATGTCGAGGTCCCACCACAAAGATGAATATCAAGGCCACAATGACCACAAATGTTGCAAAGACCACAAAACCTAGAAGAAGCAAAACAAATAAACATAAAAGTTTTATTAAATCAGAATGCACATAGAAAACAAACTCAATAGGAAAGATATACATATCCCAGTACTGTATCCTCAGGTTTACCTTCCCTACAAAACTGACTCCTATTTGACGAATTAATTTTTTTTTAAATATTTATTTATTTATTATGTATACAATGTTCTTTCTGCGTGTATTTCTGCAGGCCAGAAGGGGGCACTAGACCTCATTACAGATAGTTGTGAGCCACCATGTGGTTGCTGGGAATTGAACTCAGAACCTTTGGAAGAGCAGGCAATGCTCTTAACCACTGAGCCATCTCTCCAGCCCCCTTGACGAATTAATTTTGAAATATACTTTTATGGAATTTGTAAGTTACTAATAACATATAACACCAAGGAAATAATTCCCAGACAGTGACTTCTCAACCAGGACAAAAATTAGCGTTCCCTTGTTCCCCCAGCAAAATCACACCTAACAGAACAAAAGTCCACACTGGAGGGCTGGGGGCCGAGTGCGTGCCTAGCATGTGCAGGACCCTGAGTTTAATGCCCCAGCTCCACTTTAAATACATGATGTAAGACTAAAATATGCTTCATAGACTTAAAAACACTTACAACACTAGCATTTTTAAAGTAGTATCTTATGCCTCCTTAACTATTCTAGAGTACAAGGCAGGGGAATGCTCATCACAACAGGGAAAAAGAAGTCGCTGGAGACTCGTGTTCAGGGAGTACCCTTGGCTATTCAACATGTTCATCTGCAAAAAACAGGAGTTAGGAGTGTTCCCGTCAAAAGAACAGTCATCAAGAGAACCTCAGAACCGCTGGGGTCCTGGTGGGGTGCTGAGAAGCGGCGTGCCGCATAGCTGCCAGCAGTACAGTCGTGGGCTGGGCAGTTCTCAGGCATCTGCACTCCACTGCAGAGAGCTCGCAAATGACCGTTTACGTTTTGAGATGGAAAAGAGGTGGGGGATGGGGACATACACCAATAACCCTATCAGTCTGGAAGTAGAGGCAGAACCATTAGGAATTCATGATTATGTTTGGCTATAGCAAAAGTTGAAGCTGGCCTAGGCTACGTGAGACCTAATGACAAAGAGAGAGAGAAGAAAAAGAGGGGAAAAAGGGAACAAACCGAGGCTAAGAAAAGCCACTCTGCTTCAAACTCCACAAATAAAGGATATTTAAAGCAGACAACAACAAGGAAAGAAAGGCAGCAGGAGAAATATTTTATAAGAACTATTTCTGAGTGTCAGAAAGTACAAGATAGCTCAAAGAATGCAGCAAATCTGAGAAAACTGAACGCTGAGTGTGGTGGTGCACACCTTTAACCCTAGCACTTGGGAGGCAGAGGCAGGCGGGTATCTGGGAGTCTGAGACCAGAGTTCCAGATAAACCAGAGCTGAGGCCCTGTCTCTGTCTCCCCCCAGAATTCCACACGTCTGAATGTGACTCAGTAGCAGAGAAGACTCACACCCACTGTGGAGCAGCATAAAATGTGAGCGAGAACAGGACACCGGGTTCAAAGTCTACGCAGGCTGCCTAATGTGCTTGAAGTAGAGCCAGACCATAAGACTTCTAAGAGGAACTGATAATTTCACAGCAATCAGCTAAGGCAAATTCCAAGCCATACAAGAAAACTGGGTACAATGACACATACCTAAGGCCCCAGGGCTGGCCAGCCTGGGCTGTAAAGTAAGACCATGTGGAAATAAAGAGGGAAAGAAGGAAGTCATCATGATGGTTCACAACAGAGGTTTACTGTGAGAACAGTATAAAGCGATATACGACGTCTACAGTCAGGAAAACAAGTTCAAATGTTTTCAGGAACACACCTGCAGCTTTTCTTACCTGGATCACCTAACTTATGGGACATTTCATTTAAGGTCTCAATCTCCTCTTCCTTTGGGGCATGAATGACCATCACTGTAGAGCCTAGAATACTCAGCAAACACCCGATTTTCCCATGAAGATTAAGTCTTTCATTTAGGAAGTATGAAGACAGAATGGCACTGAAAAGAAGAATAAGAGGAAGAACAGTTAAATTAGTTTTTTTTTCTCACTTTTAAAATTCAACAAACATGCCATACAGATTTCCAAGCTCAAACAAAATACTTCCTGCTTTTAGACAAGGAAAATGTATGTTCAATCAGAAAACTATAACAAGGACTTAAAGGTTGCTCTGCTAGAAAGTACCAGACTCTTCACCTGGATTTATGAG